CAATCAGTATCATATATCCAAATATTCCTTTAAAAATACACCATAAATAAGCACCAGGTCTAGAAACACCTTGGCAACAAGCATCTCCAAAATCTTTACCTAATACTGAAATACACCTTCAACGTCAGATTTTTACAGTAACTTCTTGGTCTTTTCTGCTTTCTGTATACTCCAATTCTGGCTGCCTGTAGACCATTTGACTCGACAATTCAAGTACAACATCTGGGATATTGCGGACACCAAAATTCTCATACAGCAGTTCAAAACATTCTTTCCTCACAAAAAGCAAAATCATCTCCCTGAAGATTCTATTATTAGCACATGGAATCTGCTTCCACAGCATCCTGTAAGAGAACTGGACCCCCTTCTATAAATTTTCCCAGATGCAGTCCACATAGTGCCCATCAGACTGAACAGTCAAACACACCAACCTAACATAAACTGTACATTTGCCAGATAGAACTAAGATTTTAAGAAATTTTATGTTATTTGAATGTGCAAGAAAGATCAAGAATCCTAACTTACTAAGGGGAGAAAAGAGTGAGATCTCTTGATGCTATTTTGTTCAAAACTGCAGTATGGCACTTACTTTCCATAAGTAGCTAAAAAGAAAACTGGAAATATATGATGAAAATGAATTGACTATTACCCCTTTAAATTAATGGAGATTTCTGATAAAGCTAGATCAGTGCACTTCACTTCTCATAGTCTGATTGAAGGGTTACGTTTTCCATGGAATATTGAGGTGTGATCGCACTTGGGGATTCCAAATAATAAAGGATGAGAGAGAAAAAAATCTCATTTAATATGCTATCTTGTGAAAACACATTGTTAAATAAATGTCTCATCTGGGGATCATTTTGTATAATACAAAAATATCAAATCACTATTATGCACACTTGAAATGAGTAAGATACTGAATGCCAATTATACTTCAATTTAAAAAATGCTCCATTAACAAATCTATACATAACAAAAGAAATTGAATAAAAAAAACAAATCTATACATATTTTTACTCAAATGGACACATATACATTGTTCTGAACCTTTCCTTTTTATTTGAATATTATACTTCAATATATTTCTATATCCACCTAAGGACAGCTGTATATTTTTCTTTTTAATGGCTACATATTACTTCCATCATTTAACTTTACCTTGGGTTACTTCCAGTTTAGGAAGCTAAGTGTGAAATTTCCTTTTTTACAGAATCTGGTTTCAGTATAGCTTTGCAAAAATAAAATGGAAGGCTCTCTCCACTCAGTTTCAGAGAAGTGTGTGTGGAGCTTTGAACACCATGAGCCTTGACCTTCTTCAAAGGGACAACATTTTAATAATTTTTAATGGATTTTCTTCCTTGCAATTGTTCAGTTTGAGTTTTCCTTGTCATCTGATATCAATTTTGGTAATATGTACTTGCCTAGAAAATCATCCATGTACCCAGATTTTTCAATATCTGTAAAAAAAAAAAAAAAAAAAACTTAAACATTTCTTGTAATTTCCTCTGTATCTGGTTATTTTTCCTTCGGTTTCTAATTTTGTGGGTTTGCACTGTCTCCTTTTTCTTTCTCTGAGGTTAACTAGTGATTTATCTGTGTAATTAGGAGATTGATTTATGTATTAGCTCTACTTTCTTTCTGTATTCTAATTTCTTAATATTTGCTGTAATTTTATGAAACTTCTTCCTCTTTCTTTAAAAATAGTTTTGCTGGGGTTTTTCTCCCCTTAACTTATTCGGTGAAAAGATCATGTCATTTGAGCTTAAGGCCATGAATCTTCTCCTGAGCATGGCTTCAGCTCTAGAATGTACATTCTAGTATATAGTGTTTTTCATTGGTATTTTCTCTACCTGCTCTTTAACTTCAGTTCTGAATTTTCTCTTGAGCCTAAAACTTATTTGAGAATCATCTTTCTTGTTGTTGCTTTTGATTCTAGATGGTTGGGATTCTATTTCCTTTCTGTAATAAATTTCTAGTTTCAGTGTACTGTGATCTGTGACTACATTATGCCCTCTTTTTCTAGTTTGCACAATTTTCTGAGGTTTTCTTAGTTCCCAGACATAAGTTTGTTTGTTTTTAATATTCCAAGATCAGGGATCCCTGGGTGGCTCAGTGGTTGAGCACATGCCTTCAGCTCAGGGCATGATTCTGGAGTCCCGGGATCGAGTCCCACATCGGGTTCCCTGCATGGAGCCTGCTTCCTCTGCCTATGTCTCTGCCTCTCTCTCTGTGTCTCTCATGAATAAATAAGTAAAAGCTTTAAAAATAATAATAATATTCCAAGAGCATTAGAAATGAGACCCTGTTCTCTGATTTCAAGTCAAGGATATATATATATATATATATATATATATATATATATATATATATATACTTTAGATCTCATCATCATGGACCTTTTTTAAAGAAAGACGCTTGGGTATTCTGTTCCCTGAATTCTTTCATGTCTGAGGTGATCTGTCTGTGTCCTATATACTCAAACAGCTCAGCTGGGTCCAAACTTCTCAGATTGTCTGGCAATACTTTCCATCCCTCCACAACTTTTCCTTCTTTGATTCATTGTTTCCCTTCTGTGAGGTCTCATTTCAGAAAAGTAATATTGTCTTTAATTTATTTGATAATGTGTCTTTAATTTATTTGATAATGTGATAAGTATTTTCTATGTTTGAGATGGTGTTTTTCTACTTGTGGGTATAATTCCTACTCTGATGTGAATTAGTCATTGGCCTTACATCATAAAAATAAGAATAATAACTCAAGGAATCCCTACATGCCACTTTGCATGGATTAGCTCCTATTCCTCTTTCTTTTGTCTTTTGTGTTCAGTATCTGTGTATAGATCCCATGTTCATTCTTTTCAGAAAATGACATCCTTGAATGAAGACAGTTCTTTCACCACCAGTAAAGATTGGTGGGAGGAACCAGGAAGAAAAACTGAGACAGCAAGTATCTAGAATTTAAATATATTGTCTCAAAATACCTTTTCACTAATTTTCAGGCCTAGGTATGTCACCAGTTACAATGGTCCCTGCATTCAAGTTGCTAAACCTCCATTTTTTCTGTTCCCGTGCCCAACGAAGAGTGAGAAGGCTATCTTGCTGGAGCATCGCAAAGCACCTGTAGGTGTGTGTAACTCCTTCACAGACTATCCTAAAAACAGTGCATTTTTACATGCACATATGTTTTTACATATTTGCATTTTACATGTACATAATAAGTTTACTGTTTTACTGATATAAAGGATGGATAGCACACAATTTACAAAATAATCACAAAAGACAATTGTAAAGTCTGTACAGCCGATTGATTCTCCCAGAATGCTTTTCTTGAGTTTTACCAAATTCGTACCCAGCCTATGATTGTGACTGACAAGCAAATGTGGTTCTGACACAAACGCTGGATGATATTTTCAGTTAGCTAATAAGTAAGATGAAAGTGAAACAGCAAAGACACACATGTGGGAACATCATACTTTCATTGGTGACTTGAGCAGCTTACTCACTGAACCAAATTATAAATTCAAACACTAAAAGGATACCTCCTCAACTTTTTGTGCTGCAGATGTGACATTGTTCGTTTTAATCAGCATTAATGTTTTCTCTATCACTCTAAGTCCAAATAATAAGCAATAAGCGAAGTGCTGATCTACAGCATTTGCAGATTTTCATAGTATAATATTTCCACCATGGCTAATTTCAAACTACCAATGAGACATCACTGATCACGGGGTTGGGAGGAAATGCACAGAAGGGCACTTTAATATAGCATTTTCACCAATCAGATACAATCGATGTAAATGCCTCAAGAACATTAGGTAATAATAAAATATAAAATTAAGGAGTGTTGAGTTTCGAGTACTTATTACCTTTGTTTTTAACATTATTGTAATTTTATAATTTAATTTTGAATGACTGTGTTTAATGATCAACTTGCAAACTTTCAAAAATTTACAAATCAGCTCTAGACGGTAGACCATGAGCTGGCTCCAACATACTATGTAAGTCTTCAGCAGCCTGTGATTCCCTAACAAATCTATTTGCCTTCTAACATCTTCCCTCTTCCCAGTGGTCAGCCTTTTGTGATAAAAAGGGATATCTGAGTAATTCTGTTTACACCCTGACCCTGCTCCTCCTTGGCTACATAAACCTGAATTCAATGACTTCCTGTAGCAAATCCAAACCCTCAGACTCTTGTCATTCCAGAGAAAGATCCTTGGTCGGGGCCTTTCAGGACCAGGCACCCAACTTGTAAAGCGCTCTCTAGTCATTACCAGGAATCAAAGATATATGTGCCAACAGACTGAGGTCATCTCAGCTTGGTCTCAATGTCACTGTTTCTGGCACCTACACTTTGCTGGCATGGCTTACATGTGCCCAGTTTCATTGAGGATGGCCTTTCTTATTTATTTCACACCATTGTTATTTTTTATTACTTCAAGGAATAAACTGGGATGCAAACACATTTCTTCTGCCATCTTTAGCCAAAAATCTGCATTCGGTCTTTAAACTTAAACATTTTCACTTGAGAGTCAAGTTCCTCTTTATAAGAAATGCCCTTGAGATACACAACCTAAAAGAGGTACCATAAGAAAATTATGTCAGTACCAAAATAAATGTGCCTCACAAAAGAAAGTGCTGAGTATATAGGCAATGATTACAACAGTGAAAAAAGGTCTATATGTTAGGACATTTGCCGATCGTATACAAATGTTTAAAGAACCAGATCTTTTTAATCCCCAGCTGAAATGCATTACACACATTGTTTAACGATAAGAAAGGAGGAACTATGTACATGTGTTTCCCATATAAATGGAAGAGACAATTTTTGAGGAGGGAAAACAAGGACATTGACTCACAATCAAGTCATTCCAAAGTGGTGGAGTCTGTGGTATTTATTCTCTGTGTGTGGAACATTTACAATTAAAAAAATAAAAAATAAAATTAAAAAAAAAAAAAAAAAAGATAGCCCACATCATTCCCACAAAGCCTATTTGCTGAAAGGAAACATGTCATTGGACCGAAGAGCTCCAGAAGAAAAACAGAGGTATGTGATTAACATTCTCAGTGTTTCTTTCTTTTTTAAATTCAGATTTGCTTCAGAACATTTTGAGATATAGCCTAATATTTAACATGGAAATACTTGAACAAATGCCCATTTTGGCGTATGTTTGTTCTTCAAAATTTGCCTCCAAATGAGAGAAAAAAAGACAATATGACCTAGAGCAAGAAAGAAAAATCTGTTTGGGAAGGATGTGAAAGGATCTGTGAGACAGCCACAAGGCATTCAACGTGAAACTACTTATCAGGCCCAAAGTGGGCTATCTTCCCATAGGAAGGTGTAGGAGGGGAGCCCGGGCAAATCTTATCTTGGAAGGGAGATAGATGGTCCCTGGAGTAAAAATGACTCCATCAACTTTTCACTGAAGAGTTTCCAGATAAATAACGTCTTTCCACAAATAATTTGCTCTCGAAAGGCAGCCCCCAGACAAGGGAAGCAGAAAGAATGGGTAAAGGCTGTGGAATTTTCTGAACATGAACAGCAAAGAATGTCAGTCTTTGTAATTGAGAAATGAGATCACTTTGAAAAAAATAAATGTCAAGAACCGGGGCTATTGCACAAGTAAGGCACGTTTTTGGAGCCTCAGAAAAATGCATTCTCAAGATTAATCTTTACGTCTGTTTCCAGAGGCTTCATTCAAAAGTTGACACTTTTGTACAAAGAACAGCCTAGCGGTGACTGTGACAAGCAAGCAGCATTTCCAGCAATGTACCAGCGACTCATAAATCTGTGGGAGATAGTGCATATAGAGTGCAGCCGCCCTCGCCAAACCCCTGCAACTTCTCCTTGCCCCCAAAATTTGGAGGCTTGGAGTAAAAGGAGAAAATAAAAGCAATATAGAGTGTGAGAAGAAAGTAGCCTAATACATAAAATGAAAGACAAAGGCAGACTGGATTATGCCAGCGAGCCATCTGCACAGCTGAAGGCTTCTTCCAGCAAAAAAGGCTCCTCTGTTCCTGAATCAATTGCTTCCTATTCACAGGCTCTCTGTATAGGGCTAAATTCAAAATGGCTCTCGGGAAATTCTTGCCAATCCTGTGGTCTGATTTTAGGCTCTATTTTTCTCTTTCTTTTTAAGACCCGAGGATGTAAGTATGTATCAGTGCTGTAACCTTGCCAGCGTTCACTGGAATGAGTCAAAGGGACCTGGCATTAAATCACAGGGATTTGAGCTGCTAATAAATACAGCAGGCCCCATCCATTGTTGATTAATTCTGACTGAAATCTAAACACCAAACAACAAACACTCTTCTGAACTGCGCTGGTACCCATTAGTTTGATGTGTTTATTAGACAGGGCTGTGTTCTTTCAAGTTTATTAACAACAGATTAAAAAAACTGCAAACAAATCTAGGTTTCTTTTTATGATTTAAAAGCGCGGGTACCATTTGCTAATGTTTTTAGGGTTTGACAGCAAATCCAAACAAAGCTAAAACATACCATCATGTCAAATTAAGATCTTGGTTCAGAGTTTGAATAGTTATTGTCAATGCGCAGCTCCCGTTATTCAACAAATAATCAAAATTTCTACTTAAGCTTATAACTTGAAGAGTTCTCATGCTTTTTGAATCCATCTTTGCATAGAGATTTAAGCAATATCATAGGATGAGATATAAAATCTCTACAAGTGATATAATTTATTGCATACTTTTAAAGATTATACAGGATATTTCATGGTATTTGATTATCATATAGCAGACTTCCTAGAGGTTAATTCTGAATTGGGCCAATTAACACCTGGTCATGAATATGCTAGATATTATTATTTATTAACAGTGCCTAAAAGTGAAAAAAAGTACAAACAAATGTTCAGTGTGCAAAGATAATCAATGGTGCCTCAATATCAAGAATTCAAGAGATCAAAGACCACAAGTACAGATTTTCAAACTTCTAATATTAACTCTATTAATCCCTGGGTAAATCTTTGAAAATGTCCAAGGTATATACTCTTAAGAAACTGAAAGAAGACACAAAGTCCCAGAGAGTCTCAAACAGACCCGATTACTGCAATTTCAAGTTCATGGTGGAAGCAACGATATAGAAACATTTAAGTCATATTTATAGCCCAGGAAAATTGCCATAAAGTATATTTACCTTAATTTAAGCTGTCTAAAGAGTGTAAACAGAGTTTACTAGCTTAAAGACATACACACACACACACACACACACACACATATCCTGTTAATGGTTTCTGCAAACCATGTAATTTTAAATGACTAAGTAATGTGTGAAGGGGAATAATTTTCAGGTTTTGGCTAAACAGAAAGCTTCTCCTCAAATCTAGAGCCTTGGGAGAACCACCATATCCTAAGGTCATGTAAGGCAACATCTTGATTTGAAAAGCCTTCCATAAGTGCATCTGCTATTGCATTCACAAAATATTCCAACCCAAATCTGTCACTGCAATATCTGGATTCTCCCCAGAGCTTCCCAGACCACCAGAGCTCAGCTCAGCAACTCCAAAATTAAATCATTACCTCCTTTAATCCTAAGTCATGTCCTCTTAATTTTTACAGCATGTAAACTACTAAGCTTTTATTCTCTGCTTTTTTCATGAATGCATAAAAACCACGATCAGAAGACAACTGTAACACTATAAAATTGATTGGTCTAGTCAACCCAAAGGTTACCTTTATTATGGTGGTACTGGTGGTGATTATGATTATATAAGTCAAGAGTGATGTTTGATTTTATGATATGAATAAACAATTCCTTTTTACCAAAAAAAAAATAGCATTATAAACACTTCAAAGACTATATGGTATGAAAAATACTGCATTGTGTCTAAAAAGGTAAAGATCCAGGCACCTCATTAAGAAAAACAAAATGTTATGTTTCATCTAGTATATGCCTCCATAACTAACTAATTGGCTGATAATCAACTGAGTAGAGAGAAAAAAAGATGAGGGAAGAGGTGTAAAGAAGACGGAAGGGGAGGGATGAAGAAGAGAGAGTAACTAAGAAAGGAAAATCATCTACTGAAGCTTAACAAAATCAAATAATATATTCAATCAATGATAGGCCATCATGAAAACTAAAAGAATAAAAGGATAAATGACACTAATTACCAACAATTAATAACTAAATATTCTGCCTCCGTCAATTAGAAAGTTTGCACTTTATAAAACTAAATGTTGCGCTGTCAACTTTTTGACAAATACATCAATCAATACAATTGGTGTCTTTTTATCTTTCAAGATAAATGCAGAAAATGGGGAATTTATGAGAAATTCATGTAGCTTTTTTTAATCCAATTTGAAGCAAAATTCCTCCATCCAGAAAGTAAATGATATTTTGGGTTGGCCCTTAATAATGTAGCCCTACACAGAATTTCCAGACTTATTTCCTATGGTGCCCTGATTTTGCATTCATGTGGTTTTGTTCTGTCCTTTGTTTTATGCACAATGCTCTCCCTTCTATATCCATCTGCTAATATTAGACTCATTCTCCAAAGTCTACTCAAAGGCATCAGAGTTATATGAAAAACATATAAGCTCTGAGACAGATAAACTGATCCAGAAAGAAATCTAGATAAAGAGTAAACAATAATTACATAAACTAGAATATCTTAAAAATATAAGCTTAGGGACTTCTTCCTAAAATTGTACCACGAGCAAGATTATTATCAATCTCTCTTCTCTCAGCTGAAAATAAGTTTTCTTCTGGATCTATTCATTATGTCTTGAGTTCCTACCATATTCTGAGTACTATGCTCCCAACATCAAGGTGTTCTTAACTGCCACACTTTCCTGAACCACAGGTTTGTTCTAAACCGCCACTTTGAATGTTTTGACACTTAACACATTCTGTCTTTTTTGGCATTTGGGGCTTTTTGTTGTTTCCTTGTTGTTATTTATTTTTCATGTCCTACCATGTTAAAAAGCCCTCAAAAGCAAGGTATTTGTCTTTAGAGTTCCTAAATGTCCAGTCCCTGGCACATAGCAAATGCTTGGTGATCACTACTTAAATTAAGACTCAAAGATGAGGGGCACCTGGATGGCTCAGTTGGTTAAGTATCCGACTCTTGGTTTTGGCTCAGGTCATGATCTCATAACAGTCATGGGATAGAGCACCACATCCGGCTCTGAGCTCAGCATAGAGTCAGCTTCAGATTCTCTCTCCCTCTTCCTCCCGTTCATCATCTCTCTCAAATAAGTAAGTAAAACCTTTAAAAAAATAAAAAGACACAAAGCTGACTTTTAGAAAATGAGATTCTGAATACAAAATCCACTTTAGCACCACAAGCAGATATCTAAAGCCCAAATCATAAAACGTGAAAGGATTTTCAAAAGCAGTGGGGAAATGAAACATGGACATACAGTGCAAGGAAGGAATAGAGGGAAAATGAGATTATCACAGAAATGAAGAGATCGACAGGATTAGAAAAGAAAATGATATATAGGGAAAGTAGTGAACAAAATTTTTTCAGATCCCAAGGAAGAAAACTAAAAGCATGGAACCATGCAGGCTCTTAAATATAATTCAAGAAATATACATTCAAGAAATATATAAAAATAAAATTCTCTTTCTGAAATGAAGGAGAATTTCAATCTCCATGCTAAGGAGTACAATGTGGCCCAAGAAAAACTGGCTCAAAAGTATCAATAAGTGGATAGCAACTAATAAAATCTAAAGAAAAAAAAAAGTAGGCATTGGGAATTCAGGCAAAAATACCAAGTGACTTACAAAAGAGAAAAAGACATACTTTGCAAAAGCAAGATAGGGCTAAACAATAGAGAAACTCATCTATAGTAGAAGATAGTAAAGATGCCACCTCTAGAAGACAGAGTAGCTACATACAGAAAATCATCACAGAGAGAAAGTGAGCCTATGATTTTTCACTCAAACCATCAATCAAGTATAAAGACAACAGATAAATCTGCACATGCAAAAAAAAAACAAGAAATATTCCTCAGGAATATCTAACCCCTTTTCATTCAAGAAGACTCTGGACAAAGTGGTTCAGGGCAGGTTGTTTCAGGTATG